TTATAACATGATGTTGACCCGGGTCAAACCCGGGTCAATTAAATCATGACCCGACCCGACCCGTTTCGGAGCTCTACTTTAAACAATTGAAAAAATCAACAAATTATAGCATTAATGTGAACTATTCTAAAAATGCAATAGTAGATTGTGAAAAGAAAATTCTTTTACTCATGAAAAATGTGAGGTATTTTGCCTTATAATATAGATTTTAACAATTGGAAATTTTAACATTGTAACATGAATGTGAGCTGTAATCAATAAGTCAGTCAACTTATCAAGAGAACCAAGTTATTGAATTTCACATGATTTTTTAAATTTAAAAATTTTAAGATATTTATCTCAAACATTAGAAGGTTGCAAAATCAATCTTTTTATACATATTTCTGAACATAATAAAATTTAATAGGAACACAAATGTGTTTCTTCACAATGACATAAGTGATGATATAAAAATGATGATATAAAAATGAAATAAATGTATTGTTCATAATTAGGCAGAATGTTCTCTAAATTCTTGATGATATAACTGATGAATATATTAATGCATTATTTATGAGAAATGAATGATACAATCAATGATACAACTGCCAAGATAATAAAATATTAATGCATTATTCATGATAAATCAAATGATTAAAGCAAAAAAAGTTCTCTTACATCAGATATTTTATTACAAATAATTTTGCAAATGACGAAATATTACAAACAAAAAATTAAATTACACATTACTAAAATTGTAATGATGACCCTTCACATAATGAAATATCACATGAGACTGATTTATTGTGATTTCATTTAATTATACTTGGGCTAAGTGATTTATTGAGTTTACATACGTAGTAGGTTTTTTCAGTTTTCGCGTAATCTTTTTTGGATTTTCTGCACCTATTAGTCTGTACCACATCAATTAATAATTCTTCCTAAATAACGAGTTGTTCACTAAGTGCACTTTTGATTTTAATTTGATGTTAACTGTTAAAACCCTTGGAACTGTCTGTTAATATTTTAATATACATTTCTGTGGTTGATAATAATAAATTGATGCATTGTAAACTTTGCTACTAAACAAATTATAATATTAATATTCATGTTCAAGACCTAATGGCTAATACCATGTAAAACATTTTATGTATGTACAGTTGCTATTTTTAGTAATTGGTATAAATAATTAAAAGTCAATTATTTATTATTCCCAAACAATAGAAATTGATTGCTATTGATCACTAGCTCTTGAGAAATATCAATAGCATGATCTTTGTCATACTAACTAAATAGAAACTAATCAATTCAAAATAAACAAAAAAATTTAATTTTTTTATTATCCACATGGGAAAAAATTATGCGAACAAATTTCAAAAAAATAAACTTGAAATTTACCACCAACAAAAACAAAAAATTACAGATTTTTTACTATGCTCCCCTCCTATGAATTTGCAAGAAAAGAAGCTATCATTACAATGTGTTGAAGTTGTAAAACCTCTGATTTTCAAAAAGGAATTCAAAATTAGCAAATTATTATTGCAAGATAGTTCTGTATGTTCCATCCATAAAGAAAAATATACAGGAGAATCCTACATGTTCCGTCTATAAAGAAAAATATACAGGAGGGTCCGTCTATAAAGAAAATATACAGAAGGTCCTGTATTTAATATGGGTCCTGTATATTTCATCTACAAAAGAAAAAATACAGGAAGGTCCTGTATATTCCGTCTATAAAGAAAATATAGGGAGAGTCCTGTATATTCCGTTCATAAAGAAAATATAGGGAGGGTCCTGTATAGTCCGTTTATAAAGAAAATATAGGGAGAGTCCTGTATAAAAGATGGGTCCGTCCATAAAGAAGATATACAGGAGGGTCCTGTATATTCCTCCCATAAAGAAAATATACAGGAGGGTCCTGTATATTCCTCCCATAAAAAAGATAAAGAGG